CTTAGTACAATTTTCACAGTAGTGGGTTCACGAGGATGACTGTGACCAGGTCCTACCATAGGTTTTGCCTTAGAAAGCCTCATCTGACTGCAGGAGACCCTCCTCAACCCCCTACCCCAAACTCCCCACCTGCCTGCGATGCTTAAAACTATTTTAAGAGGGGTGAAAACATTTAATTTCACAGTTAAAAAGCAGAAAATGACAATTTATGGGGCTCCTGTTAGTGTGGATGAGTTTGCCAAGGGGTTCGTGTTTGTTGGGTGGCCAGTGTAAATGACTGCTGCCAGATTGTCCCTGTTTCACAGGTGGGGGAGCACAGAGGCCTGCCGTTGGGGAGGCCTTGGGACGAGAAGGCTGGGAGAGTGACAGACTTTGTCCAGCTGACGTCAGCCTAGTTACCTCATTGTCCACACTTGAAACTGCTTGGGTTTTGGCCAGAATGAGGTGATCCCTGATTAGTTTCACTTGAGCAGGGATAATTAGAAGCCAAATACTGAATATTTGATGATGAAGCTGTAAAAACAGGCATTGGAGGATTTGGCTACATTTTTTAAAACAGTGCTGACTCTGCACAAAGGACCATTTTCCCATATTGCTTGTTAGCCCAGCTATCATATCTTAGACTAGTGTCCCAAGGGCTTCACTGAATGTGGGATTCCCTTCTCCCCTCTCCTGTTCAAGGTTTAGTTGTATCAGATCAATCTGTATTTTGTTTATACCATTGTTGGATTGCTCTTCTTAAGAGCTAGGGGTTTTATAAATTTAGAGATAGCTTTCTGGAAGCAATCAAATACGTGTCTATAACCTATTTTGTTACAGGTGTGATTTCGAATGCCGTCAGTGCTACTTCTTCGAGTTACAAAATCTTTCCCTGTATGTTTCCTTATATGTTGTAAGACTTAGGAGATTGAGCCATGACATTATTCATTTATTTACTTAACTTTCTATTGTGTGTCCAAAATATTAGAAAAAGTGTGAGATTGTGAGATGTATTGGAGCAGTTTGCATTTAGGTGGGAAGCCAGGTACACAGATACAAAGTTATGGTAGAGGTATCATAGAAGACTTTCTGTGGAATTTTACGGTGGACAAAGTGCTTCCACATATATTTGATGAGAGGCAAGTATTTTTATCCTCACTTTACGGAAGGGGGAACTGAGGAAACTTGGTCATGTCAAACTAGTCAGTAGCAGAACTGGCATCTTCTCTTATTCCCAGCTGCCTTCCTAGTGTGGAGACTGGGAGGGAGAGAAGTTTGAACCAAGCCTTGAAGGACCTCCCGTCTTTGACTGCAGAGGCCAGCCTACCGTGGCTTCATCAGAAGGCTGTGTGTTTGGTGTAAAAGCCTTGTCAGAAGTCTTCACAGTGGTCCTAAGGCTCACCCTGTCACCCTATTCCCTGGAGCCTTGCCTCAGGCTGGAGGTGTGTGGCACATAGTATTTGGTGTGAAACAAGCCCTTGGCTTAGATTTGTTTTTGAGGCTTAGCCATGAGGCCACATCCATCAGTGGCTGAGAGGTGAGTGGGCAGGACTTGCAAGTTGAAGTAGGGGCTCTTCACTGAAGAGTACTGGAGGGTAGAAAGCAGGACACAGTGGTTATGATGATTGTAGACAGTGTTGGGGGACAGGGACGTGGAGCTACACTACCTCCTCTGTGATCCAGGCCTGAACTTCCAGTAGTACTCCCAGCACTATTTGCTGATCTTCCAGATCCAAAGACCTGGTCTGTAAGAAATGGCTCAGTCTTGGTTAAATGATACATTTCCAGCTCTTTATGGAAATATATAAACAGGATTTTCTCTCTCAGTCTACCTTCCTTTAATGTGAAAATACTTTTAAAAGAGATACCAAGGAATCTTAGCATTGAAATTTTTACATCTTGGATGCTGTGAATGCAGAGATACAGTTAGGCTGTTCTTTAATTTGGTTTCATTAGTCCTGGGTTAATATTGATTTGATTACTGCCCTCACATTTCAGAGATATTCCCTTCAAGGCTATTCCTCTGAAGGACTGAAGATAAAAGCAACTGAACTTTGTTTAATTGACAGATTAACATTTTAAAGGATATTAAAGGTCACAGCCCAGGTGACTGCAGTAAATTTATTGTTTACGAACCATTTTTCTGCTGCTTTGCAGTGTACTTCAGTGCATTTAGGTTTTTCTGTCTGGGATTACAGCTCTCTCCCCCTTCTGTTCTGCTTGTCATGTGTGGGTTTCATGGGCCAGTGTCGTCTTAATGCAGCTCTGCTCAGCATCAGATGTGCAAGGTCTGAGCCCAGTTGTGCCAAGACCACAAAGATGATTAAGAGGCGTCCTCTCCTTAGTCATCATCTGGTAGGGATCATTATGGGGACTTAAGTAGGTTCAGACCAGACCAGGATGGGGGCAGGTTGGGGGAGCAGGTCAAGATGCAGGGGAAGAAGGTGGTCCTGGTGAAACTGGTGTCTGGAGGTTGGCCTTGAAGAATGGGGGGAAGAGGAGGTTTACGGTGTGCTGGGCCCTGCTCTAAGTGCCACCTGTGTATTGGTGTTATTTCATCCTTATAACAATGCTGTAAGGTAAATTCAGTTGTTGTCTGCATTTTATGAAGGAAACTGACACAGTTAAGTTTCTTGTCCAGCGCACAGCTCATAAGGGATTCAGGGATTCCAACTCGGGCAGTCTGGCTGCAGAGTCCATGCTGTGAATTGTTACACTAGGGGAGTGAGGTTTGGACAAATGAAGACTGAGGATGGGGACTCCCAGGAGGTAGATGGGGAAGCCACAGATCAGAGGCCCAGAGGTAGACATTTTGTAAGGCCATTTTGCTGAGGCCCTGGAATCCCTCACTGAGGCGATGATTGTAACATGGGAGAGTCATAGGCTTTATGAGTCCCCTCACCTGTACTGTTTGGAGGCATGTTGTGTGTGTAGTTCAGCGGGCAGTGCTGAGGCTGTGAAAGTTTCTGAGTAGGGAAATTGCATAGCTGTTGCTTCTCCTACATCTTCAAGCTACCCTGAGGTTTGGCATTTATTCCCGCACTTGATGAATATGCTTAGGTTCAGCCTTTGCTGTCCTCTGCCCATTCTTTTTCCTTCCTTCTGCAGTTACACTTCTGGAAAGAGGCTTTCTGAAGGGTCATCTGTCTGTACTATTTCCACTTCTTCACCTCACCATCCACTCCTCACCACTCACTTCTCACCTGTCCCCTGTCATCCCACTGGAACTGTCCTTACTGAGGTGGCACTGACTGGCTAACTGATCATTCTGGTGAGGACTTTCAGTATTTGTTCCATAGTTCCCAATGAGGGCAGTCCCCCTCCCTCCTGGGGAGAGGATTATCTGGCAGTGTCTGCAGACTTTTTGGGGTAACACATTGGAGGTGGGTGGCATCCTGGCATCTTGCTGGGATGCTCCTGAACATCTTAGAGTACACAGGACAGCTGCCACAACACAGAATTATCCAGCCCCAAATGTCAGCAGAGCAGAGGCTGAGAAACACTGACCTCACCTGGCACTCTGGGACATACCACAGTCCGCGTTGTCGTAACTTGCTTGACTGCCGTGACGATAATTCTCTTCTGACTTGTCTTCCAGTGAATTCTCATTTCATTCCTTACCAATCTCTGTGGAGGGCTCTTCTCCCCCAGCCCTTTAATGTTGTTTCCCAGGTTTCTTTTCCACTCTTCACGTTCCTGTTGGGCTAGCTCATTAGTCCAGGTGCATTTCTGGGTGCGCACCTCCATCTGTATTCACGGCTCCAGCTCTCTTTTGGGCTCCAGTCATGTCTTCCTCCATCTCAGTGGTACACAGGCACTTCAATTCAGCAGGTCTTAAATAGGGCCAACCTGAAGTCTTCTTCCATCCAAACCTGCCCCCAGCTTCACTGCCCACCTGCCTCCAGCGCTGAGAGTCAGCCTGTGCTGTTGTTGCCCTAGCTCAGGCACTAATCATGCCCCCATCCCCCTGCCCCCGGATTACTGCATCCCCCCCCCCATCTTTCAGCCAGCCCTCCCTCCATTTAGCTTCACTTCCTGCACTGCCACCAGGCCGAGCTTTCTGAAACAACAACTCTTGACGGAGGGGTTCTGGGGCTTACAGTCCTCATTTAGCTTCTCGACTGTAACAGATACAGTGTAAACTGAGCTTGGCATGTGGAACCTTCACCCTCAAGCTCAGTGGTTCCCACCTAGAAGTAGTAGTACTGCTCTCCAAAGGGGCCTTTGGAAAATGATATGGATGTTGAAGTAACAGGAATCCAGTGGAACTCCAGTCTCCATAAATGCTGTTTATTCTTAAGAAATGGGTTTTACTTTGTGTCACCAGGCTCTGGGAAACTGCTTTGGCCTTTCGGATGCTCTGTAAATGGGGTAGATCTTGGTGTCCCTGCTTTCTGTCCTGATAGCTGTAGACGCACTCTGTTTTCTTTTTCTACTTAATGTCCTGGCAGTGTGATTCTGTGCAGACAATTAGTTTGACCAAACATCCCTGCCATTAAGTATTAGGCTATTCTAGAAGACAGTGGGGATGAGAAAAGACTTTTCTAGCTTCTCTGTGGCCTTCAGGATGACCTAAACCCTGTGACGAAGGGCTTTGAAGGCCCTCTTAGAGCTACTGCCTGAACTGATTGATTCAGTAGCTTCGTTCTAGTTCCTAGTTTCCTGGAGTGATTCATTTTTCAAAGAACCTTGGAGCTGCCCCTCCTTATACCCATGTCTTAGAACCTCATACTACACTGTTGCAAGTAATATGGACTTTCTGAAGCTTATTGGTGTGTTTTTCAGCAGATAACAAATATCAAAATATAAATTCCCTTGGCATAACATCATACCAGGAGAAAATGGTGGATGTTTTCTGATCCTGTCTGGCTTAATTCCAGGGGTGGGAATTTGACACCAGAGTATATTGTATTTTGGGCATGAATGGACTAATACCAATGGTAGCTTTGAGCTCTGACTTGGTTTTGGCTGGATCCCACCTCCTGTGTGCTGAATCTCTGTCTTTTTGTGTTTCTCCCCAGAAGCCCCATGTGCCACCCCCCTGATCTGCAGCTTCGGGAGGCCCGTTGACCTGGAGAAGGACGACTACCAGAAGGTGGTGTGCAACAATGAGCACTGCCCGTACAGTGCGTGGATGCACCTGCAGTGCTTCTATGAGTGGGAGAGCAGCATCCTGGTCCAGTTCAACTGCATCGGCCGTGCGCGCAGCTGGAACGAGAAGCAGTGCCGCCAGAATATGTGGACCAAGAAGGGCTACGACCTGGCCTTTCGCTTCTGCTCCTGCCGCTGTGGACAGGGTCACCTTAAGAAGGACACAGACTGGTATCAGGTGAAGCGGATGCAGGATGAGAAAAAGAAGAAGTCAGGGTCAGAGAAAAACACAGGGAGGCCCCCAGGCGAGGCAGTGGAGGACGCCGCCTCCACAAAAAAGTGCAGGCCACTGAACAAGCCCCAGAAAGGCCTGAACCACGACCTGCCCCGCCGGCACTCCATGGACCGGCAGAACTCCCAGGAGAAGGCGGTCAGCGCCGTGCCGTACGGGGCGCGCTCCCCCTGTGGCTCCCCCGGCCAGTCGCCGCCCTCTGGCTACTCCATCCTCTCACCGGCCCACTTCAGCGGCCCCCGCTCCTCCAGATACCTCGGAGAATTCTTAAAGAACGCCATCCACCTTGAGCCTCACAAAAAGGCCCTGGCCGGGGGGCACGTGTTCAGAAACGCCCACTTTGATTACAGCCCGGCTGGGTTGTCGGTTCACAGGGGGGGCCACTTTGACGCGCCCGTGCAGTTCCTGCGGCGGTTGGACCTCTCCGAGCTGCTCGCTCACATCCCCAGGCATAAGTTGAACACTTTCCACGTTCGGATGGAAGACGATGCGCAAATGGGACAGGGCGAGGATCTGCGGAAGTTCATCCTCGCGGCCCTCAGTGCCAGCCACAGAAATGTTGTAAACTGTGCCCTGTGCCACCGTGCGCTGCCGGTGTTCGAGCAGTTCCCGCTGGTGGACGGCACTCTGTTTCTGAGCCCGTCCAGACACGATGAGATCGAATACGATGTTCCCTGTCACCTCCAAGGTACAGGTGTTAAGTCACCTTGCCTGCATTCTGTTTTGTTGAAAGCCCGAAAGCAAAGGATCACTCTGTTCTGCCTTAGTTTTAACTGATGGTGCTTTTGTTCTGGTCTGGTGCTAGGTGGTATTTGAATATTTCAGCCTTACCCAATGAGGTGGTGGGGGTGATGGTTTCTTTTCACTCTGATGTCACTATACCAAGTACAGCTGTCCCGGTGGGTCATTTTATGTTTTTTTTTCTGCTGTAATTTGGAGAGAGAATTCCTGGTGTATAGTTTTCCATAATTGGGAGGAAATTTAGAGAGGGAATTGCATGATCATGTCACTTGCTGTAAATAGTTGTCTTTGAAACCTGTGCTAATGTGCCTAGCAAGCTGTGTATTCCTTTGATCCCTGTAAACTTAGAGTGAGGGCAAGTAGGGGTGAGAGAAGACCAAGGTGTTTTTAGATGAGCTGAACTCATCTTGAAATTTCCCAAAGGTGAGCCTGCCTTGATAGGAGCAAAAGGGAGATGGACGATTATTGAGAGCTCAGCCATTGCCCTGGTGGTAAAGGATGAGGAGCTTCTTGGGTGCTGTGGATGACCTTCAAGGACTTGTGGACATGTCAGCCATGACTTATAATGCCAGGGGTGTAGTAAGTACAAGTGAGAAATCTGACAGTTCATGTACAATTGTTGAATTTATTGTTGTAAAGGTGGGATACATGACCTGTATCATGTATGTTTATAACTTCAGGTGTGCTTAAAAAAGCTTATAGTAAAAGTGATTATCCCCATCTGTCTTCTCTCCTTCAACCCCTGCTGTCTCAATTTCCAGAGACAAGCACTCTTTGATTCTAACTGTTCAGGTATTTACCAGCATAAATTTAAAACTGCCTTCTTCCTTTCCAATTCTAGGTATTATCTGTTAACTCTTTTTTTTTAAAATTTTTTATTAAGGTATGATTAAGGGGGAAGTGACTGCATCCCCCAATGCAGTCACTGTCCATCAGTGCAGTAAGTTGCCAGAGATCCACTATGTCCCTTCTCTGTGATACACTGTTCTCCCCGTGATCCTCCATACCATGTGTACTAAACATAATACCCCTCAGTCCCCTTCTCCCTCCCTCCCCACCCACCCTTCCACACCCCTCCCCTTTGGTAACCACTAGTTCATTCTTGGAGTCTCTGAGTCTGCTGCCATTTTGTTCCTTCAGTTTTGCCTCACTGTTATACTCCACAAATGAGGGAAATCATTTGGCATTTGTCTTTCTCCATCTGGCTTATTTCACTGAGCATAATGTTCTCCAGCTCCATCCATGTTGTTGCAAATGGTAGGATTTGTTTCTTTCTTATGGCTGAGTACTATTCCATTGTGTATATGTACCACTTCTTCTTTATCCATTCATCTGCTGATGGACACTTAGGTTGCCTCCATATCTTGGCTATTGTAAAAAGTGCTGCAATAAACATAAGGGTGCATATGTCTTCTTGAGTCTGAGAAGTTGTATTCTTTGGGTAAATTCCAACGAGTGGGATTCCCAGGTCAAATGGTATTTCTATTTCTAGTTTTTTGAGGAACCTCCATATTGCTTTCCACAATGGTTGAACTAGCTTACATTCCCACCAGCAGTGTAGGAGGGTACCCTTTTCTCTGCATCCTCGCCAACATTTGTTCTTAGTCTAAGGATGCTGGCTATCCTTACTGGTGTGAGGTGATATCTCATTGTGGTTTTAATTTGCATTTCCCTGATGATTAGTGATGTGGAGCATCTTTTCATGTGTCTGTTGGCCATCTGAATTTCTTCTTTGGAGAACCGTCTCTTTATATCCTCTGCCCATTTGTTAATCAGGTTATTTGCATTTTGGTTGCTGAGGTGTGTAAGTTCTTTATATATTTTGGATGTTAACCCCTTGTCGGATATGTCATTTATAAATATATTCTCCCATACTGTAGGATGCCTTTTTGTTTTGTTGATGATGTCCTTTGCCTTACAAAGATTTTTAGTTTGATGTAGTCCCATGAGTTCATTTTTTCTTTTGTTTCCTTTTCTTGAGGATGTGCGTTCAGGAAGAAGTTTGCTCATGCTTGTATTCAGGAGATGTTTGCATATGTTGTCTTCTAAGAGTTTTATGGTTTCATGACTTACATTCAAGTCTTTAATCCATTTCGAGTTTACTTTTGTGTATGGGGTTAAACAATAATCCAGTGTCATTCTCTTGCATGTAGCTGTCCAGTTTTGCCAACACCAGCTGTAAGGGGCTGTCATTTCCCCATTGTATGTCCATGGCTCCTTTATCATATATTAATTGACCATATATGGTTGGGTTTATATCAGGGCTCTCTAGTCTGTTCCATTGGTCTATGGGTCTCTTCTTGTGTCAATACCAAACTGTCTTGATTACTGTGGCTTTGTAGTAGAGCTTGAAGTTGGGGAGTGTAATTCCCCCTGCTTTATTCTTCCTTCTCAGGATTGCTTTGGCTGTTTGAGGTCTTTTGTGGTTCCATATGAATTTTAGGATGCTTTTCTCTAGTTCGTTGAAGAATGCTGAGGAATTGCATTGAATTTATAGATTTCTTTAGCAGGATGGCCATTTTGACAATATTAATTCTTCCTATCCATGAGCACAGGATGTGTTTCCATTTATTGGTATCTTCTTTAATTTCTCTCATGAGTGTCTTATAGTTTTCAGAGTATGGGTCTTTCACTTCCTTGGTTTTACCTGTTAACTCTTAAGGTGGACTGTTGATTGTTGCATCTTCCTGTTTCTAGGAGAATAATGTATCACAATTCTTGGTTAAATTCTTAATGTTTTTGCTGTTATGATTATGTCAAAATTTAGTGTTCAGCCAAAAAGTATAGGTATGTTTCCTAAGTAGAGTGCAGTATATTCTGAGACACCTTTTATTTTTATTCACATTAGTAATTGTTTCACATTCTCATTTGCTTAGCCTTTTTTTCAAAACTTTGGCTGGTGGTTCTCACTCTTCAGCAGCTCCACAAACCACTTTTCAAAAATATTTCCACATACGTGTCAGACATTTTATGAGTTGTTTTTTTAAAGAAATTTCCCTCATGGAGCCTTTCATCTGCCTGTTCCTGTCTGTCCAGGTACATTCAGTGCCTGCTATACCACAGAGCTGCCCTTCTAGGAATTCTTTAATTGCTTTTCTATTTTTTTCTCCTGTTTTCTAGATCCTGTATTTTCTTATTTCTTGGTAACATTTCCAGAAACTTTCTGAGGAAGGGAGCATGGGAATAGATGTTTTGAAACTTTGAAAGTCTGATAATATCTTGATTCTGTCTTCACACTTGATTGCAGTTCAGCTGGGTGTAGTCCTCAAGTTGGAAGTATTTTCCCCTTAGAATTCTGAAGGCATTTCTTCACAGTGAAGAATTTTAAGATTTTCTCTTTATTCCTAGTATTCTAAAGTTTCACCATGATAAGGGTCTTCTTTTTTTCATTTATTATGTAGGGTGCTTTTTTGGCTTTTTGACTTTGTAAACTTACAGTCTTTAGTTTGGGAAAACTTTCTTAAGATTTACTTATTTGATGATTTCCTCCCATTTTCATTTTTTAAAAAGCACTGTGGAACTGTTAGGTATTGGGCCTCTTAGATCCTTTTTTTTTTTTTCCAGATAAGAAGATCCTTTATTATGTGTATTTTGGCCCTATCGTTCATCTCTTTATCTTTATTCTGCTTTCTGAAAGATTTCCTTGACTTTATATTCTAATATTTTTACTGAGTTTAAGGTTTCCTGTTCTCATAATTTCCATGAGCTTTTTTTTAATAGTGTCCTGTTCTTGTTTTATGGATGCAGTTTCTTGTCTTCTCTTTGCTACAGGGGAAGGGAGCTGAAGTTGCAGGGAGTGGTCGTTTTCATTTTCTAGAGTTCCACCTAATCCTTTATGTCTTTCTGCCTTTGTTGTAAGGGAAACCACTCCAAAACTTAGTGGTTTTAGTAGATGATTCATGATTTCTCACAATTCTGTGGGTTGGTTGGTTAGGTTGGCCTCTAACGTGTCTCAATTGGCAGACTGGATGGCCTTGGGAGTCTGAGCTAGAATGGCTCATCCCTGTTCTTTAGAGTCTTTTATTTTTCTGTAGGCTAGCCTGGGTGTTCTGATGTGGCGTTCTCAGGACAGCATTCACAGGGTGAGAGTGGCTGCTGCAAGCTCTCTTTCTCCAGAGACGTAAGGTTGGAACTGAGTAACATCGCTTCTGTTACATTCTATTCTTCAAAGTAGGTTGTAAGACTAGCTCAGATTCAGGGGATGATTAAATGGACTCTGCTTCTTGATGGAAAAAGTTACACAGAATGTATGGTTGCTTATGTATCCCACTATTTTCCTTTCAGCATCTCATCTCACTCTTGCCTGCGCTTTTTCTCCAGTTTCAGAGCTGAACCATTTACCTTTCCTGTATCCAGTTCTGACTAACTGTTTTGGTTCAGGTTTGCAAGGACCTGAGTTCTGTGCAAGATGGAGTTTGTGTTTTGTTTCTTGTTCTTAATGCTGCTTGAGGATAATTTTAGAGGGAAGTAGGTGGAACAAATTTACTTCATTTTAAAACTAGAAATACTCTTTATGAAGATGCATGTGAGACAAGGGTGCATGGTACATGAGAGTAGTGTTATTCTTTTCTATTCATCTTGGTCAAATTGTGTTCATAGAATCTATTCATCAACCAATCAAGCTTAGGAACTTCTTACATGTGCTAGGTATTATCGGTCCTTGCCTTTCGTCAGTTTGTAATCTTCGAATGTAAGATGCTTTTATAAAAATGTAACTCACTTTACCAGGCCTCAGGCTCTAGTACCTCTTGTGGAATTCAGTAGCACCTGGATATTACGTACATGAAGCATTTTATAACTTTCCAGGAGGAAGGGGCCCCTCTGGCTGGGGTAGTTAGAGGAGGCATTGTGAAGGCAAAAGTCCTTTTTTTCCTTCAGCAAGGGTAAGCAGAGGGTCTAGTCCCATCAGGTCATTGTTGATAAGGAGAGGGAACAATATAAGCAAAAGACTGGTGGTTAAAAAGACAAGGTCAGCAGACAGAAGTGAGAGAACCGGTGAGAACAGTTTGTTTGGAGCAGAGATTCTAGAGTGGAAAATGAGTAGGGTGGGTGGAGAACAGATTGTGGGTCTGTTCAAGCCACCGTAAAGAGCTTTTCCATGTTCTTTATGAATTGAAGGGTCAAAATATTATTTAAAAATAGACGGTCACTTAGGGGAAAAGTTGTCTGATGGGGTGGGTCCTACATACAGAGAGTTGGTATTTGTCTCTTATCTCCTTCCAGTCTAGGTGGAAGGAGGTAAGAGACTGCTAGGCAGTAACAGTAGGAACTGAAAGATGGGAATATCTGCAAGGATTATTTTAAATGAAAAATTAAAGTTTTGGGGATACCTTGACTGTAGAGGATGAAGATGAGACCCTGTTGGCTCTCTTTGGTTCTAGAACAGATAAATGATACTGTCATGGACCTAAGATCAAGAAAAGGACCTGATCTTGGGAGGAGGATGTGAGAACATTGGTGTGAACTGGGTTTGAAGAGATTTTGGGATATTTGTGTGGAGATGTCTGTCTAGCAAGCACTGTTAGAAAGAAGCATTTGGGATAAGCACTGGTGAGCTTGTTTTATGACAGTGGTGGCTAAAATCTTAAGAGTGGAAGAGCTCTTGAATGGGAGAGAAGAGAAAGAAAAGGAAGACTATACTATATGACAGATTCCCAAGACCAAATCTTGAGGGTACCTGTTAGGGAGAAAGGTGAAAATTAGGTAGGCCTGAGAATTGTGTGTGGAGTGTGTGTGTGTGTGTGTGTACATAAGTACATACACAGCCACAAATAGATAATGGATGTGTTAGGTATGCACTATAAAGGTCTTGAGAAATTTAACTGCTGATAAAGTCCAAAGAGCAGGATGTTTTATTTTGTCAGTACCAGACAAGTCGGTGCTACAGGTGGGCCCTTAGCATGTGTGTGTATTGTCGTCATCTCAGAGAAGTCCATGCAATCTTTTTTTTTATAGCAAGCTTGTGTAAATCATTTCTTTTATCACAGAGTCCCAAACATTTTCAACTCCCAATAGAAGGGCCCTGTTCAGGCCACAGAGTTCTAGTCTGCAGTTGATGAAATGCTGCTGAAGTAACTTGTTATTTCCAGTGGTGGACTGTGTGAATCGTTGTTGACCCCGTGCCTGCCATTTACCCCTCATTGCTCTCCCCCAGCCTCCAACTCTAGCCTCTGTTCTCCAACTCTACTGAGAGAATGGTTTTGTTTGGTTTTAATAATTTCTTAAGGTCAATCTGATTAGGAAGTTACCGTGCCTTTTTACCACTAAGAACCACAGGTAACTGGTCTCTCCGGAATATACTTTTTGTTTGTGCTCACAACCCTAGAATTAATAAATTTAGAATTCTCTATATTTAGGACAATATCTAATGCTAACTCAGACAGAGGACTTTAAATTAAGCCTGCACTTGGCTACTTAGTATCTCTGAGTTTAGGCAATCTACTCTAGCTTGCTGAGCTTCAGTTCCTCCTATCTGAAGTGGGGATAATAATAATGCCTCCTTTGCAGTGTTGCTGTGAGGGTTAAATGAAATGCTTCATGTACTCTTGTAGCACAGAGCCAGACCGTTGGTGAGCACTTAGTAAAATGTCCCAGTCAACTTCATTATAGTCATTGCTACGAACACTTGACCTCTGTCCCGGTCTCTATGCTTCCTAGTAGTTGCCTGCGTATCTTTGAATGTTTGAGAATTGCAGTGAGTTGAGTCTAGGATGGAGACTGGAAGTGCAGCATTTTCCCGTGGTCCTTGGATATTTGAACTGACATCCTGAAATGCCCCCAAGTGGGCATGGCATGTGAGACCTTTTAATTCTCAGTGCCTTAGAGCAGAAGTAGGCAGTGTTGCAAGAAACTCTTATTCTTCCCATTTTTGGCATAAAAATCCCCAAGGTTATAATTTATGTCTTTGGCTATTAACATGCCCCATCCATTCAACCAATGTACAATTTTGGAATGCTTTCCCCACTGCAGACAGTGTGCTAGACACTGGCCTACAAGGATGGATAAGACATGATTTCCTGCCATCAAGGAGGGAGTCTCATGAGCAATTGCATTAAGAGATTTCCCTGTATGTACCATATACATTTCCCTTTCTAATGTATAAGGAGCAGGCTGGCCCCACTGCTGACAGGTGAAGAGCCATGGTCTGACTGATGGCAGTGAGCTGCACATTCTGAATTAGAAGGCTCTTAGGAGTATGTCCCCTCCTGATAGCATTTTCTAGCACTGGAGCTCCCTGTCCCCACATAGAGCAGCACTGTGGCTGTTATACACATTGCCCAGGCAGATCCTGGACATTCTGCTTCTTTGCCAGTGATTTGAACCCTAGTCCTTCTGTATAAACTAGGGTGACATCTTTTCCTTTCAAGCTCTAGATGTTGATAAATAATGGAGGAATGGTGTTGTGACTTTTAGGAGCCAAGTACATAACAAGACACTGAACTCCTTTTAGAAAACCGCTTACAGGTAAGATGCAATTCTGGCTTCTAAATTAGATGTGGTGATGGCTGAACGACGGAGACAAGGACAGTTAACATAGTAATTTTGGCTGTGGTGTAATTCTGGGCTAGTACCAAGACAGACCTGACTTCTTCATGATGGGACTTGGTGGTGGATGAGAGTCTGTGACTACAGACCAGTGTTGTTGGCTCAGTCTCCCTGTGCCACACACAGAAATTAGGGCAGGAAGTCCTGTGTGATCACAGGCTGGTTTTGAGCATGTATTGGCTTGGTCATTTGAGTTTGGATGTCTATTTTGTAAACCTGGTAGCACCTTCCAAAAAAGGAATTTAAAGCGAGTATTTAACAAGGTTGAACTTAAAGTACATGCCCCACTGACCATAGTTAGTAATGCATCATTACTCTAAAAGAACAAGTTGAGGATGTGTGGTATCTATTGTGATTCTTATATTTATCCAAATGATAAAATGTTTGCTTATAATTGAGAGATGAGCCATTTTTTTAATCCCTTTTGTAGACAAAAGGTGATTTTTCTTGATGGTCACTCTCAGCACTGTGTCTTCTGTGCACAGGGAGACTCATGCACCTGTACGCGGTATGCGTGGACTGCTTGGAAGGGGTTCACAAGATCATCTGCATCAAGTGTAAGTCGCGGTGGGACGGCAGCTGGCACCAGCTGGGCACCATGTATACCTATGACATCCTGGCCGCCTCTCCCTGTTGTCAGGTTGGTATTGCCTCCCCGGGTGAACAGTGAATGATGCCAGGCTTCTCTCTCCCAGTGAATGAAGAGGAGTTAGAGGCAGCACTGCAGTTACTGTGGGAGAGGGTGAGGCATGGAGAAGATGTTTCTCTAGTTAGCAGTCACAGAGCTAACCCAAGGTGCAGGAATGATGGCTGGCTTACCATAGTGTGGCGCTACCGTGATGGGATTACTATACAGCCATTAAAAAGGGGCATTGTAGAATAATGTAAAATTATCTGGGAAGTATTTTCAGTGTAATGAGTCAAAAAAGTAGGTTAGAAAATGCTATAATCGTATGCTTCTAACTTGTAAAAGTGAACATAGGAAGGGATCTGCTAATCTGCTATCAAAGGCTGATGGGGTGCTGAGTGATTCCTTTAGTTTTCTTTTGCTTATGTTTTCTTATTGACATATGCTAAGCTTCCAGTAAGAAGGTGGTATTTTTTAAAAAAAAGAAAGTTTCAGTTGACAGGATATTCTTTTTGTTTTCTTTCTCTGGATAATGCAGTTACCCAAGAACTGCCTGCCTTGTGCAGTGGTTGAGATTGGCATGAAAGATTCGTAATTCCTAAAGGAATGTTAAAAGGATGCATTTTCTAATAATAAGAGAGCATCCAAAATTTAGCTGTCATCAGGAAAAGAAGGAAGTATTAATGTGTGAAAACACATTAAATAAGTCCATGGAAACACAGGAAACAAAACAAAAAATCCTTGGCAATATCTTGGTTTATTTCCAAGCTCTTGGGGAAAAGAAAGCATTTGTTACATAATTCCTTAATATTCCTGAGAAACTTCCCTTTGCTCTTGAGTGTGTAAGCCTGTTTTTTAATGTAAGTAACTTTATTAGTTACTATATAGTTTTGCATCTTTAGCTTTACGGTTTGAGTTTTGTGAAGAGAACATCCTTACTATTAGCAGTTTATTCAGATGATAACTCTTGTCAGCTGAATTAAAAGTTGGCAGAGTGGGATTTCAGCTATACTTCATTTATACTAGTGATCTCAGACATAGAGTCGTGATGGACCCAAATGGCCATCCATAGCCTGTTGTTTGATTCCAGCTAGGACTACCTTTACGCTATTCTAGTACTTTGACCACATTTCCATTATGAAACGGCCTTGGAAATGAGATATTCCTTCTAAGTCTTTCGGTTATTCCCGGTAGCGTTTTGTAATACTCACTGTGCCTTCATGCCAGCTCTTGAGAGGAACAAAGGGGAGTGGCTTTTCTCTCCTGACACAGACCCCCGAGAGGAGTCTCTTTTAAAGAAACAAGAAAGTAAAAGAATGTTTGGGCCTGGTCCTCAAAAGAATATTAGTGCTTGAAGGGAGCTGGGAGATCCAGTGTAGCCTCCTTATTGTCCACGTACAGTGGAGGCCTAAAAGTCTGGGCTGTTTTACCCAGGTCTACACAAACATGTCGCAGCCATGACTAAAAACTCTGACTCTGGGTGTTGGTGTTCTTAATACTACACCACTGAAAGGCAGTGGGATTAGTTCCTTATCTTCAGGGGTAAAAGCAGAGTGGCATCCTGCCACACCCAGCCTGTTGGTGCTCACTGTGTATTTCTTCCTTAAAAGAATTTGAGGTCAGAGCTTTATTTTCTGGCCTCCTACTAAAATGGGAAACATGTTTGTTTACTCTTCGGCCTTTAAAAGAAATCAACTATATTCACCGTGAAGGTGTAAGTAAGTATTAGACAATACTAAGGAATCACTAAGACTGAGCCAAAAATAAGCAGTGATTAGTTATTAGAAAGAAATAACAGATTAGAGAATGATTAAAAGAGAAGTTTGCTCGGAACCTCACTTTTAGTGTTGTTGAGAGGGATTAGTCAGGGAATTTATCTCAGGTTGTAGAAAGGTTGTCCATGTAATGCTTGGGGGTAAGTAAGCTATTTTGGTTCAAACCTTAGCCTTCCTACCTTACCTATGTGGTGTCGTGGGAATGCTGCTTTGTCTCTGCATGCCTCAGGTTTGTCATCTGAAATTCACATATTGCTACCTACAACACAGGACTCTTTTGAAGACAAAATGAGGTTATACTTTACTGTTGTAGTTTCAAATGAATCTAAATTGAGAGTCTGTTGTAGTCATCATTTCTGGCGATTGCTGTAAGTTCTTGCGCCCATTGCTAAAAGCCTCTAGTGTTGTGCTGTCAGAGAGAGGCCTGGGGCATGAATGAGGATACAGAGTGCAGGTAGGTTCCAGAAACCTCAGGATAAACATAGTACTCTTTCCTAGGTTATTAATTTTACTGGAGTATTTTAGGGAAATTTTATTTTTACATCAGAGAAAACAAAAATGTAAAGAGTAGAGTGAAAAATGTGCATGGAATTTAAAAAATAAGCTCAAAGGAGTTTAATGCAGGTTTGGATGAGGAAAATCAGCTTCAGCCACTCTTTAAAATCCAGGGGAAAGAGGCTTCCTATTGTTTGGGGAAGTAGTGGAGACATTCAGGCAGTGCGAGTGTAGAATTTTCTTTGTACTAGTAGGTGAAACTACTAGCAGTGCTCACATCAGGGGAAGTATTAGGAGGCATTCATCTTTCAGATTGATGAATAATTGAATTTATGTCTTATGCTTATGCTTTGCACAATCTGTTTTTGGCAATAAAAGGGCTGCTTTACTAAATTGCTCAGTTTCCCAGATACAACAGTCTTGCGTTTTGGCCTGGATGGCTTTGACAGTGGCGTGAGGATGAAGGGTGTGGTGGCTTACTGCGTCTGTGTTTTGCCCCCAGGCCCGCCTGAACTGTAAGCACTGCGGGAAGCCTGTGATAGACGTGCGGATTGGGATGCAGTACTTCTCCGAGTACAGCAACGTCCAGCAATGTCCACACTGTGGGAACCTGGACTACCATTTCGTGAAGCCATTTTCCTCCTTCAAAGTTCTTGAAGCTTATTGATGAAAGCTTTGCTTTAGTAATAGCTATTTTATTGATATTATTACTTTATTACATATCTTTTATAGGGAAACATTCTGTGACATTAATTTCTTTTCTAATTTAAAGGAGAGTTCCTTTGCGTATGTGTGCCACTAAAATGGGGCTGCCCCCTGCCCTCCTTTGACTCCTGAGTGTTAGTCTGTGGTCATGACCAGAGCCCAAATGGGTAATCCTGTGAGTTTGGGGTAGCAGTTCCCTATCACTAAGAATCTCTCATGCAGTTTTTAAGGTGGTGGGAGGATGGAGTGGATTTAGGAAAAGGATTATGTGGTTGTAAACTAAGAGCATGGTAGGAAACTCTTTTTAAAGTGTTAACTGACTGGAGACTCACCTTTGGTCTTTTCTGGGCCTTGGGAAGAACACGTGACAAATGAATGTAAGTCTGTGCCTGGGGAGCTGATAGTGCATGAGTCCATCTTGGTGTAGCCTCCTGCAGTGCACACTGACCTGCAGTTTACCCTCACAGATGATTTGCAGGTAGACATGAGTGCTGTTCTATCTGTTGTAATTTAGCAGTTTCATGCTGAAAATGATACCCAAATTATTAGACATATGAAAGCTTTTGGTGTTGCAAGTAATTTTTAGATAAGCTGACCTTTAACAATATACTAAATGAATTTGGAAATGCTGTACACTGACCCAAGAGGGCAGAAAGGTAAGAACCTGTCATTTGAATTGTGTCTTTGAAGTTGGTCAAATGGGCTCTTAAGGAGAATCCATGAATAAACTGATTTGGGTGGTACTGATTTATGTAGGTTGCACTTTTAAAGCACCATTTGATGTCAGATTCTTCTCACAGGTAAATCTCACAGCCACAGACCTAACTTTAATAGTGAAGTGTGAGTTTCAGAACCAGTCATTTCCATGCTTATCGTCCCCAAAATTGCTTATGGCCACAATTTACCCATTTAATGCTAAGTTTCCAAAAAATGATTTGACCCTAACATGGAAAGGAAAAAAATTGTTTGTGAGGCTAGAAGGGAAATAATAATTTTAATATGTCTTTTTAAAATGTGTTTCATTTTGGGAAATCCCTGATCATAATGTATAGCAATATATTTGAAAATAGATCATTCTGAAGATCTATCCTACCATTGGTGAAAAAAGATAATTTGTATAATTGATTAGGCACAGATTTGGGTTTTCCAAAATACAACCTTCTGTTCATTACATACAGCTTGGTGAATTAAATAGACTGACACCCCATACCCTTACAGAATTGGAATTGGAATATGATTTCTCAAAAATGAACTTATAATTTAAAGTATAATACACATATGCTAAAAGAATGGTGAAATCTTTTATGGGTAGCAAAATTTGGGGTTATATAAATAACATTTTATATTGCTCATTTGGTTTATACTATTTTTTTTTCTTCTCAGAGAAACAGTTGTTTTTCTTTCAGTACAGTTTAGGCATTATTAGAAGTGAGTTTCAATTCTGCTATATGAAAAAGTTGATGTTTTGTTTGAAGCAACACAGCATTAAAGGACCAATATACTGAGTAATATTCTTCATTCAGTTTGGATGATTGTAATTTGGTTTAACATCTACTTTGGTGTTGATGATCTGAAAAATATTTCACAGTGCAGGAAAATGCTCAATGCCTATAAGAAGCAGGAAATTTGTTACTGGTCTAACAGTATTTGATGCAACTAAAAGAGGTCTGTAGGATATAGCCCTTGCAAATTTGTCTTTAATACACAAAGCTGTAATTGTGAATTAACCATTTCCCTATTGATTGTCTCATGTACTTAAGTATAAAAATTGTAAGTTTCTCTTCAGAGTACCATTTCAATTTTATTTCTGAATTTAAAATGAATAGTAAGATATTTGCAATGCTGTTCTTTAACTCACATAAATTTTTACAGAGAAACCTGCTTTTATTATTGTTCTGAAGCTTAAAGTTATGCGTCAGTCTCATTCAGCAAGCTCCTCAATCTAAAACTGCTTTGAGTGTAGTGTTGCGCTCAGTATTTTCTCCTTATATTGTTTTCTAGTCTCTGAAAAACAAGTGTGATGAGGTTGCACTGTAATTGGATAAAATTTGCTTTTGGCCTTGATTTTAATGATAGAGATAGGATTCTGCAGGTATGTAAGAGGAGAGGCATAGGTATCATGTCTGAGAATGTCATTTGTCTTTAAGGCATTGCATTCTTGTCTAAAGTGGAAAATTTGGCTGAGTTGAGAATAAAATACTATTCAGTATGCAACAGTGTGAAGAATAAAACTTAATTTGGAAATCTGTTGACCTTAGCATTTTCTTGACGCTTTCTCAAAGCGCTTTGCACTGAGCACCTTGATGGAGATAGGAGTATGTCAAAAAAGATGATTATTTTTGTTTTGGTTTGGATATTAAAGGATGTTAGTCACCCAAGAGATCCATTTTCTGTTTTTCTGATACTGTTCAATAACATGAACCACTTGTAAGTGACCAATAATTTTTCAAAGTGATTTTCTTCTACACTGAGTTACAGACCTTGAACAAAGAAAGTAATATGCTTTAGTTTAGTGAGAAGACTTTGTGATGGTCTCATAATTTTCTCTTCAGGCCATCTCATTTCTCAACTCTCTTCTGGTTGCATCTGAAGCAGTTGATATATTGGGCTTATACCTTAAAAGATAGATATTGACCATGAAATTGGGGGTTGGGGGAGTTATCCCATTCTAGTTAAGAAAGAGCTTTCCTCAGTCTTTAATTTCCAGTTTTGTAAAAGAAGTTCATTTTCAGAATAAAAAAGTGTTTTCATGTCTGTTTGGGAGAAATGAACTCATCAAGAAAGACTATTATTACCAGGTGTTTAAATCCTAAAACTAACAAATACTCTGATACATAATTTATCAGGCCACCAAAACAAACTTGCTGAGATTTTTTGTTTTGTCCTGTGAGACAAATGCCTAACATACAGTCTGTTCTTCTGTGCCCAGGTTGGTAGCTCCAGTTTGCTTTGCTCTTTAGTCTCACCGTAGCAGCTGCTGAGTGATTTTAGGCGGAGGCCGGGGAAGGTGAGGAGAGAGAGCTCTTGGTCAGTGTGCTGGTTCCTGCCATAGGTGCTGCCTGACCCCCTCCTCTCTGTGTCCTGTTGGTTTTATTGTCATCCCAGGTAACGGAAAGGAAAATTCTGAATGGGCATCGTTAAAACAAACTCAAACACATTCTCGTCAGTGAAGATTTCTTGTCAAGATAAGATGTCTTGGATCGCACTTTTGTTGAGGGAAGACAGTGTAAATAGTTCAACAATGTTGATAAAATTGGAACATTTGCTTATGGCATTGTGTGTGGTGTTAGAAAGTTTCTGTTTGTGAAATGTATGTATTAAAAATAATAAAATTTCAGAAACATTGTGTTTTCTCTTTAGTGTGCCATTTTATTTCTTGTCAGGATTCAAGGTTTTTGAGTTTGAGATTGGTGAGAAAAAACAGTAGGGAAGATTTTGAGATTTTAATCACTATTCAGGTAGCCATTTTAAAAGCACTCAGGCAGCTAATAAAAACTACGAACTTTTTTGTTTGAAAGTGGTATTCACATGCAACAAAATAAACATGCTATTTAACAAAGTTGGTTCCATATGGATAGTACAAAATTACTGTTCTGGTTATCAGGAATTCTATTGATAGAGAATCCCGTTCTACAAATATTTTCTTTGATTCCTAGGCCTATAACAATTTTCATAATGAAAAGACTTGATTATATGCTTGATTATAAGAAAATGAAAACAGTTTTAATTAAGCTTTTTGCTGACTTTTTGTACTGTGATCAAGTATAGTTTATCTTTAAAATCTCCTTGTCCCCTTCATTTAAAATATCATTCCCTATGAATGGACTGAAATGCACAAAAACATTAGAACACATGAAAAGATGTGGAAATATGGGTTAGGCAAGAATCTCTAGTCTGCCAGTGGATTCAAAGCCTGTCTCACCACTTATTTATTACAGACATGAGGGATAAATTTTATCTTTTTTGAAGGTTTATGCACAGGGAATATTGTGATTTCTACTAGTGTGGTTTATGTCAACCAAATTCCTTTCTAAGAAAAATTTCTTACTGTAGTAGAAAGAAAAAAATTTAAACAGTGATTGATAATAATTAAGTTTAGTGGAAGAAAAACCTTATTTGCTTTTACTGGTTTCCATTTCTTTAAATCTTGCTTTTAATTGTTTTGACTTAAATTTAGCAGCAATTAGATTGCTAATTATGAAGGCTGTTTAGTAAAGAGTTAAAATTAAATTTTGGAAGAAAAGAAGCTTGTCTTGAGGTTGTGTTCTTTTCATGGTCTCTCAGCTCTCCATACCTGGGATAAACTGTATCTAACGAATGTGAAATATCTTTGAAGACAGTAAGGTGCTGTACAGCCATACTCTAAAATAATGTATTTTAAGGAATATTTTTCTTCTAATGGCAGCCTTTTGCATAGTGGTAATTATATAAGCATCACCTGGTATTACTTAGCCTCCAGAAGAGCAAAAATAAGGATGAACAAAGCACTTGGTCTTGTGGAGTCCAGTAGAATAATACTGATTACATATATCAGAATTCAAATGGAATCGGCCACCACAGCACCTTTTCCTGATGGACACCATGCCAGATGTTCTGATACACTTGATTGAAAAACAGATCATATCTCAAAGTGAAGTTTAGAACTATGTAATTATAAACCTAAAAGTGAAAAGTCATAGCCATACAGTCTAGAGAGGCCAGAATTTAGAGTTAGGGCTGTGTTTTTCAATGTATTCCCTGTACATTGTTAAATTGCATTGACTATTCATACAGTTAACGACTAACTGGGGATTATGCCTGGATTCCCTCTCCTAGTGTTCAAAATGAGGTCAGTAGATGGGCATGTTGTTTTCAGTTGAGAGATAACTTGGGGTTTGGTAAGGTAGTAGATTTAAATGGTATGATACGGTAACCCTCACTTCAGCAGCATCTGTGAAAATGGAAGTAATTCTGAGAGGTCTTGCTGGGACTCTGCATAAGGGTGACAAGCATGTTGGAAAGCCAACAAGCATATTGGAAAGCATTCCCTATTTTTAGAAAGAAGAAAAAAAAACGAGGAACACTTTTCCGAAAAGGGAAAAATATAATATTTGAAATCAATACTTCTGTCTTTTATTTCATTTTTCATGCATCAATTTGTTGACATCTGTTCCCTTTTGTTGAGATAGATCATTGCTTGAGAAGAGCTGCATCTGTGTATAAGGTGACATTTTTAACAGACAGTCCACAGTAAGAACCCATTTTATTCACTTTGGGATCTGACTTTCAGATGTTTTTGGACTCACATGTCAAGCTGTCAGATTTGATACCATTGGTCTGTCCAATTTGGGCAGGGTTTTCCTTTTAGACTACTTCAAACATTTCCTCTTGGTATGTTTCATTTTCAGTTTCTCATTATTTTTTTTATCTGAAGCTCTGGTATCTCAGATTGTTTTTGAGTTGCTAAATCTGATTACTATTTGTATTCCACACAGCTTTAGGAGAAAAAAGTGCTGGTTACATGTTCTAGAGAATTAAAATTTTTTGTGGTGTAGAGGCCATCTCTTGAGCTAATAGTGATGTTCCAAGTTATTGTGAAGCCATGGGTTGGCAATCTGCCTTAAACTTTCCTATTTTAATCACATTAACAAATCACATTTTTTTCTGAAACTCTTGGTGACACAGCAAGTGGTTGATGAAGGAAGTAAAGCCAGGTGAAGCTCCTAGGCTCCGGAACCATGTGGCTCAAAGGAGTGGTTTGGGCAGGAAGTGGTCTGGGGCTATTGTGAAGATTTCAAAAAGCTTAACAGAATCGTTAACACTGCCCACTGCAAGACTGCATAGGACATCTAAAAGGCAACTTATTTTTGAAAGGAGTTATAGCAACTTTGGTTATCTCATATTGCTTAGAAACAACTTGCAGTAGCATATGCCTTTGATGAATAATAAACGAGAACACAAATGATTATTACCTGACAAATGCTATTTATTTTATGGACATAACCTTTCAAAATAGGATGGGGTTGTATTAGGTGGGGGGTGCTCTTTAGTGATGGTAGAGTTGGAAAAATGCCACCTAAAAAAGTGTATTTTTTCTAATCCTTTCCTTTTATCTGTTGTGATAATTTTACCTTAACTTTTCCACAACTGTCCATCTCTCTTTCCTGCCTTGTCTTTTCTCCTGCCTTTCCTGTTGGATCAATTTCTTAGCACTTGGACTAATTGTAAAAGCCCTTTGACACCAGAAATGAGTTGGTCAGTAAGTTGAAAAAGTGGATTCCTACAATTGGCATAGTGTTAGGTTGATCAATGGGAGAACAGAGTCTAGAAGAAGACCCACACTACATATATGGTCAATTGATTATTGACAAGTGTACAGAGAATTCAGTGAGGAAAGGATATGTGACATGAAGCTGGAATTTGATACCCATATGCAAAAAACAAAGCAGCCAGACAAGCCTGGATGTGTACTTATACCACATTTGAAAAAACAATGCAAGGTGGATTGTAGATGTAATCTGAAAATAGATAAATTTTATTAAAGTTAAAAATATCTCAAAAGACATTGTTAAGAGAATTAAAAGATAAACTGCAGACTGGAAGAAAAGGACTTGTATCCAGAATATACGAAGAACCCCCAAAATGTAGTAATAAGAAAATAAATGACCCACTTAAAAAAGGGCAAAGTATTTGAACAGACACTTTGCCAAAATAGGACAAATGAACATCCAAGATACCCAATGTAATTAGTCATTAGGGAAACGTAAATCTAAACCGCAATGAAATTCCACTGCATGCCTGTTAGAATGACTTAGAGTAATAAAGACAGTAACACTTGCTAGCAAGGATGAGAAATAACAAACTCACATGCTGCTTGATAGCAGATCGGAAGTGTCTGAAAAAGTTAAGCATATTCCTATCCTGTGTCCTAGCCACACTACTACATATTTATGGAAGAGAAATGAAAGTGGGCACATAGCAACTTGCTCATGAATGTTTATAGCAGCTTTGTCATGGCCCAACCCAATGTTCATCAACAGGGAAATGGATGAGAAGTGATACCTGTACTGTAGAACTCTATATCTATACCTATACTGTGCCTGTACCCTCCCCAGTAAAAGGGAATAAACTCTTGACACATGCAAAAACATGGATAACTCTCAAAATAATTACGCTGAAGTGAAAGAAGCCAGAGGGAAAAAAGTACATACTATATGATTTCATTTATGTAAAACTTTAGAAAATGTAAACAAATCCATGGTGATCGATAATTGGTTCCCTGGGGATGGGTAGAGGGATAGTTATAGGGAAAGGAGAGAAAATTATTATAAAGGGACATGAAGAAACTTCTGGTGGTGACCAGTGTGTACATAATCTTGTTTATAATAATGGTTTCATATATACATTTGTTGAAACTTACTGTATAGTGTAAATATGTGTAGTTTATTGTATATTAATTATACCTCCATAAAACAAAAAACACCCCACTCCCTGAAACATAACTTAGAAATCATAAGCATTTTATTTAAATCAGCAATATACATTCATTTGACAGATTGGTTAAATCTTTTTTTTGTTTGTTTTAGTATATGATTCCTGCAACTATTGGATCATGCTGCCGTTCTTGCAAAATGTCCTTTTGTGATGCATCCTCTGAGAATACTTCCTGTTTGCTTCTCTTTAAAATGGAGTAAGATTTTACACACATGAGAAATAAATAAAACAGTTCTCTAGACTTTCAGGATTTCTTTCACCTTATCTTTTACTATTTATCTCCTCCATTTAATTCAATGATATTTGTGTGTGTCCATGATTTGCCTTATTTTTCCAAAGCATCCTCAGTTACTGAAACAATATTTCCTCTTATATGTCATTGGCTTATGTACTATTAAGTTACATTATCTCTGTGAGAGATATAAATAGCATAAGGAAGTTTAGGAACAAGCATGAACTATTGGTTAAGTCCACAATTTTGCTGGGGGAAATTGTTTGCAGACCGTTTAATAGAGGCTGCCAACCACCAGCATTCATGGGAATGAGGTCACTCATCGTGGTGCAGTTTTACAAAGTGAATTAGAGTCAGCACATTTGCTGAACTGGCTAAGTAAAGGTCAGCTGAGAGAGATTCTACTGCTCGAAGCCCTCTATTGCTCACTTTTCCTTGTCTGTAAGTAGTAAGAGTCCTTACATGGGGGTAGGAGAATTTTTAAGGATTAAGTGAAATAATGTAAATAAAGTGCTTAGTGCAAATCCCTGGCACTGTAGTAAGTGCTAAAAATGTGCCTTATGATCACGAATGTTATTATAGAAAGCATTTTGACAAAAGTGAGGGCCAGAAGGACCTATTGTCCAACAGTGCATTTATTTTA